ACAACAGCTGCTTCCCTTGACCACGATAGCACATCACAACAGCTGCTTCCCTTCCAATAGCACATCACAACAGCTGCTTCCCTTCCGATAGCACATCACAACAGCTGCTTCCCTTCCAATAGCACATCACAACAGCTGCTTCCCTTCTAATAGCACATCACAACAGCTGCTTCCCTTCTAATAGCACATCACAACAGCTGCTTCCCTTCTGATAGCACATCACAACAGCTGCTTCCCTTCTAATAGCACATCACAACAGCTGCTTCCCTTCTAATAGCACATCACAACAGCGGCTTCCCTTCTAATAGCACATCAAAACAGCTGCTTCCCTTCCGATAGCACATCACAACAGCTGCTTCCCTTCTGATAGCACATCACAACAGCTGCTTCCCTTGACCACGTGCTGTGATGCATGACATTTCAAACAGCCTTATGCAGTCTCAGGTTTCACATTAGGAGGCTCGGGCGAGACGCCAATTTCTTTAAAAGGCTCCCTGAATGGTGCTGGATTTACTGTAATCTGAACACCTGCTTTCCACCTGCACCACACAGGTCTGCTAATGCTTTTCTAAACGGACTACAGTCTGCTCTACGTACTGCGTGTACATTTGCCTTCTGTCTCTCGTCACTCACTTTGCCCCTGCTGAAAGCTCGACAAGTGCACTGAAGAACACTCATCATGTAGGTTGCATTAACCCAGTGTTTCTCAAACCTCTCCTCCAGTATCCCCAGCCAGTTCCAGTTCCACTTACTTCATGTATTCCAGTACAAGCATACCTGATTCACTGATTCACTGATTCAAATGGTCAACTAATCATCAAGCTCTTGATCAGTTGATTCAGGTGTCAGCTCTGGAACACATTCATCATTTGGAACTGGCTGAGGGTAAGAGAAAGAGTTCTCAACGATAACATTTCTATTAAAAAAAACATATCACATGTACTCCTGGGACTGAACAGCCTTTCACCAAGTGTGAAATACTTGGTGCGAAACGCGCCAGCACTTTAATTCTCAACTATCTGTGTTTGTTCAATTACACACCTCTTGCAGTCCTCTTCCTGAATGTGAACCCAGTCGACTATTATTAGATATTTATGTCTCCACCTTTCTGCGTTCTCTCTCTGTCTATCTCTCTCTCTGGTATCCTTTAGTCCCCTCTCCCTAAACCTGTTCTGTCCATTATCTCCTTAATCCAATTTGATTCTCTCTCTCCTGCTTTACCTCCCTCTTTCTTTCCATCTATTGTTTCAGATTTCAAAATGAATCTTCAGGAACTTTCCCTAACCTCCCGATGTGTTCGTCTCTTCTGCCATATTCCGTTTTTCGCCCCAGGGCCTAAAAAGCTGGCCATATTTTTACTGTTGCTTGGAGCTGTTTGACATCTATAGCCTTATAGCCGTTGTCTCTTCTAATCTGATCCCCCTGGCTCTCCTCAATCTCAAATGTTCTTCCGTTTCCTCTGTCGCCTTCCGCTGCAACCTTTTATCTATGATCTATGTCCTGGATCACATCTGGCTTCTCTGCTCCCTAATATTTCCTGCCTACGCAATTTGTTGATTTGTCTCGCCTACGCCATTTTGACTCGAGTCCGGCAGTCCTGGGTTCAAATACTATTTGAAATCATTCAAATACTTTCAACGTTTGCTTTAGCCTGCCTGGAGTGCCAGGTGGGCAGGATTTGCACTTTTGGGATTTTTCTATTGGTTCCATCGCAACAGGCAAGCTCAATCAAGCACAGCTAAAGTATTTGAAATGATTTAAAATAGTATTTGAACCCAGGTCTGGAGTCCGGACACTTTTTCTTCTTCACACTTTGTCTACTGTCAGGAAGCAGTGTTGCTCTTTTTGTTTATTTTTTATTTTTTTTTACAGCTGCTGTGCATACCAAGCAGACACGTTTGATTTCTCTGTTTCGTAACTATTCACTTGAATCTCAAATATTGTCTGAAGTCTTTGAAATAACAATGTTGTAGGAATGTGAACACTAATGATATAAAGAAGGAATGGTCTTCTCACACACTTATTTATCATCTGCCACGTTTTGTCTTGACCTGAAAATAATTAGTGCAACTAATTTAGATGAATTTTGATTAATTGAAAAGCTGATGTTGCCTAATTCATCATAGAGAGACAATGGACATGTTCTAGCTTACCCAATCCATTTTTAATCAGTTTGATGAGAATTTAAATCTGCACCTCTAATTAGTAAAGAGCTCAGTTAGAGGGAATATCAGCAATCACATTAGGTCCACGGAAACAATTAAAAGACTTAGGAAGCTTCAACTATTTTTTGCCATCATCTGAGTAAGGAGTAAACAATCTTTTGTGAAAAGTGTGACATTTCCTTCTTCTTTCCCGAGAGCATCTTGTGTTTATTTTCTTTCCCCGTGACAAATAATAGTGGAAAGGGATGTGAAATCCCAAAATGAATGAAGTATATATTATTTCCATTCCATGCCACTAGGCTATACCTGGGCCTGTATTCAAAAAGCGTCTCGAGAAGTATTGATCCAGGATCAGATCCCTGATGTCCATGTAATCTTATTTATCACGATTTAAAGGCATAACTGTTCTTAAGTCAGCAATGCTACTCGGAGACGCTTTATGAATATGGGAGCAGATCTGAGTGGGGTTGTATATTATATGGTTTCTTGATCACTTTCCAACAAGTATTTTTACCAAAAGATTTCAAATAAAAGGAATGTCACTTCAACTCGCTCTTGGCTCTCTTCAAATTTAATCACCTGTCAGTCATGAATTTAGTTTAATAGGCATCATTTTTGAAGGGCTAGATAAGATAACAAAATATTGTACTACAGTAACTATACTACCGGGGTATGATACTGAGAGGGTACAGACCTCTGAACTTGATCCCCCATAGTTTTCACAGAATGTCATTTTGTTCCAGTTCAAAAACGTAATGTTGCATCATGGGGCTTTCACCATGAATAAGCTTATAACTCTCTATTTGTCTCTTATGAATAGAATAAGCTTTTCACACTCTATTTGTCTCTTATGAATAGAATAAGCTTATCACTCTCTATTTGTCTTTTATGAATAGTATAAGCTTATCATTCTCTATTTGTCTCTTATGAATAGAATAAGCTTATAATTCTCTATTTGTCTCTTATGAATAGAATAAGCTTATCATTCTCTATTTGTCTCTTATGAATAGAATAAGCTTTTCACACTCTATTTGTCTCTTATGAATAGAATAAGCTTATAATTCTCTATTTGTCTCTTATGAATAGAATAAGCTTATCATTCTCTATTTGTCTCTTATGAATAGAATAAGCTTATAATTCTCTATTTGTCTCTTATGAATAGAATAAGCTTATCATTCTCTATTTGTCTCTTATGAATAGAATAAGCTTATAATTCTCTATTTGTCTCTTATGAATAGAATAAGCTTATAATTCTCTATTTGTCTCTCATGAATAGAATAAGCTTATCATTCTCTATTTGTCTCTTATGAATAGAATAAGCTTATCATTCTCTATTTGTCTCTTATGAATAGAATAAGCTTATCACTCTCTATTTGTCTTTTATGAATAGTATAAGCTTTTCACACTCTATTTGTCTCTTATGAATAGAATAAGCTTATAATTCTCTATTTGTCTCTTATGAATAGAATAAGCTTATCATTCTCTATTTGTCTCTTATGAATAGAATAAGCTTATAATTCTCTATTTGTCTTTTATGAATAGAATAAGCTTATCATTCTCTATTTGTCTCTTATGAATAGAATAAGCTTATCATTCTCTAGTTGTCTCTTATGAATAGAATAAGCTCATCACTCTCTATCTGTCTCTTATGAATAGAATAAGCTTATCGTTCTCTATTTGTCTCTTATTAATATAATATTTTTTACATTTTAGTCATTTAGCAGACACTCTTATCCAGAGCGACTTACAGTTAGTGAGTGCATACATTTTCATACTGCCCCCCCGTGGGAAACGAACCCACAACCCTGGCGTTGCAAGCGCTATGCTCTACCAACTGAGCTACAGGGGACTTAGAACAAGCTTATCATTCTCTATTTGTCTCTTATGAATAGAATAAGCTTATCATTCTCTATTTGTCTCTTATGAATATAATACGTTTATCATTCTCTTGGTTGCTCACCCGTTTTTTATCCTCATCTTCTCACTTGCATCATCCTTGTCTCACTTCTCGACAGCAGGTTTTTCTTCCATCCTGGCATTTCTCTGAACTTATTACTTGATGTTTAGAATCCTTTCTGACTATGTAGTGTCTTTCAAGAGATAAACAGTTATATCCTGACAGTTCAACATCTGATTGGTCGTTCATTTTTCTTAACCCTCCATTTGATAATGCTCAGACTTCCACCAAGTGGTGTATCCTGTGGCAGTCGTAGGCCGCAGGGCCCTCAAACCTCCCATCTAATCCGGATTTAGACCTGATAATAACACATTTTAAGTGGTCATGCATGCTCATGAAGTCGGCAGGTAGCTTAGCGGTTAAGAGCGTTGGGCCAGTAACCGAAATGTTGCTGCTTTGAATCCCTTAGCCGACTCGGTGAACAATCTATCGATGTGCCCTTGAGGAAGGTACTTAACCCTCCTGTAAATTGCTCTGGATAAGAACGTCAGCTAAAATGTAAGTATAAGGAGTTATAACTGCATCTTAATGTTTCATACCCGCAGGTTAAAGGTAAACTGTTACCATGTTTGAACAGAAAATGGGGGGCACATGTGCTGCCGGCCTGGTCTTTGGGATAGGCAGCAAGGCGGCCAGAGCTCCTCCGCCTATTCAGCGTCTACGTTCTTTCTATCTGTTTAATTTTCCGTCTGGCCACGCTCAGTGTGCTATAGATCTCTAACATAACTTCAAAGTGAAAGTTGACGCCCTTCCCAATAACCATTGGTTTAGAGAACCACGAACATTTGCATTGGCAAAACGGAGTGAAATGATTGGCCCCGTTGCCTTTCCATCACAAGGCTGGGCTTCATAGGATGGATATGGTGTAGCTGCTGTAAGTCATGGTAATGCACGCAGCAGAAGGAGTCAAGCGCTTCGGAAGGGGGACAAATCTGACCAATAAAGGATTCTAAAGGGGAATCTATCGCAAAGGATTCTGTCACTCACTCTTTGCGAGATGCGTCTCTCACGGAAACGCTGGACTATTTGCACAATAAGCATCCTGGTGATCTTCTACAAGACGAAAGAAATAACTAGAAGTGAAGAACATCAGGAAGCTCAAGTCACTGGGTATGATACGTTCTTTTGCCATTGATATGGCCAATAGAATAGCTGGAACACGGTTGGGGGACACAGGGATTACCATACGGCGGGCTGCAGAGGTTTTCTACTTTGAGACTTGGTCAATGAAAGCATCCTTGGTCAATGAAAGCATCCATTTTCATTTTTAGGACTTTGTTTAGATGTATATTGGTAGATCTGTGCCAGTGTCCTGCAATTGGACACCTCTGCCATTGTCCAGCCCATAGCAATTGTATTGGGATGGACGCTTAATTCTCCTTTGTTTGGACTGAACCGGTGAACACAATGTCAAAACGACACTTAGTCGCAATTAGTGCTGATATTCAGTATTTTCTAGTTATTTAATTGCCTGATATCATATTCACTGTGGCATGTGAGTGGATTCTTCAGAGATTTTACAAATTTCTCTCTGAATACTACAGAGACAATGAGGCATGCTGACAGACTCTCCTTCAGAGCCTCGGCCACACAAATTGGGGCAAAATCTCAGTATACAGAGAAATATAGTTTGTAGTTGATAGGATTTCACTTTTTTCAAAATACTGGAATGCAAACAAAATCAATCAAATCTTATACATTACAATATTGTGTGTGTTTGAACCATCAAGGCTAGTTCAGGGAGACTATATTTGGGACTCTTGAGTACAGGTGAAGGTTGCCAAGTACCTCAACTCCTCCATGGAGTTGAGTGCAGACTAGAGTTTTAAAAAATTAACCTCCCACTCTTTCGAGTCACTATGACTATTTCGAGTCACTATGCGTTGATACTTCTGAAAATGTAAATTCTTAAACCCTTGCCGTGTACCTAAGTTTGTCTTCTGTAGCTGTGTGCCTTTCTTTGTTTGCTGAAATCCATACTTTTTTATAAAACGTTAATCAAATACAACCACTGAGTGTTTCCTCATTGCTGTTCCTTGTAGATGGCAACTCAGCGCAAATCCGCATTTGCCAATTGAATCTCAGCAATGAAACAGTCGGTGGTTGCTCCTGAGATGAGAAGGGTGTAATTGCAGACCGCAATTAGGGGTGTTTTCTGATATAGGCGTTTCATGATATCAAGTACATCCATTGATGCTCGCCATTGGTCCTTGGCCGTCTCTTTTGCGTCGGGACAACAGTTCTTGACAACTGTAGCATTGTAGCCTAACCCTTTTCCTAACCTTAACCTCAGTCTCCTAACCAGCCACGCTAATTATCCTAACCTGCCACGTTAATTATCCTAACCTGCCACGTTAGTTATCCTAACCTGCTATGTAAATAAATAATCTGTGTCGAGAAATCATCAGTCTCATACCACCAGAACTGACCAATGGCAGGTATCAATGGGCGTTTCCTTATATCAGGGAAACACCCACATCAAGAAGCACCCGAATTGCGGTCTGTAATTACACCATATTCCCTGAGGCAGAGTTTTCCACCACCATCAACAAAACACCAAATGATGGAATTTCCCATGGAAGAATGGGGTCGGCCCGTCAGGAAGTCTAGGACCCAGTTCCACAGGGCGGGGTTCAGAACCAGGGCCCCGAGCTTAATGATGAGCTTGGAGGGCACTATGGTGTTGAAGGCTGAGCTGTAGTCGATGAACAGCATTCTTACATAGGTATTCCTCTTGTCCAGGTAGGATAGGGCAGTGTGCGGTGCAATGGCGATTGCGTAATCCGTGGATCTGTTGGGGCGGTATTCGAATTGTAGTGGGGTCTAGTTTGTCAGGTAAGGTGGAGGTGATAGTCATTTCAAAGCACTTCATGATGACAGAAGTGAGTGCTACGGGGCGATAGTCATTTCGTTCAGTTACCTTCGCTTTCTTGGGTACAGGAACAATGGTGGACATCTTGAAGCAAGTGGGAACAACAGACTGGGATATGGAGAGATTGAATATGTCTGTAAACACTCCAGCCAGCTGGTCTGCACATGCTCTGAGGACGCAAAAAAGTCTTAGATCTTTACCAGGAACTGAAAAAGTGATTTCTTGTATGAACAAGCCTAAATTGGAGAGATTCCCATTTCTTTCCACTCAGTTAAAGTTAACGCTGAAGGGTTCATTTGAGCGTTAAAGAGAAGTGAGGTTTGAATTATTGTAATAATTAGGTTACAATCACCAGTCAGTAAGCTGCCTTGTCTGAGCCACAACGGCCCACAATCACCAGTAGTAGGATGATACTATCAAAGAAAGGACGTGCTTTGTTTCAGTTTTTATACTACTGGACTGAAGACAAGAAGGTTATGTGTGTGTGTGTGTGTGTGTGTGTGTGTGTGTGTGTGCGTGCGTACCACTGAGCAGTAGACTATGAGCCTATGCGAGAGACCTGCGGTTCCCTTTTCTCCAATCTAAGCAGGAAGTGTCAAACGAAAACAACACAGCTATAATCAAATTGTATTTGTCACATGCGCCTTACCGTGAAATGCTTACTTGCAAGCCCTAAACCAACAATGCAGTTCAAGAAGTAGAGTCAAGAAAATATTTACTAAATTAACTAAAGTTTAAAAAAAAACAAATCAAATCAAAAAGTAACACAAGAAAATGACATAACAATAACGAGGCTATATACAGGGGGTACCAAGTCAATGTGCTGGGGTACAGGTTAGTCGAGGTAATTTGTAAAGTGACTATGCATAGATAATAAACAGCGAGTAGCAGCAGTGTAAAAACAAAGGGGGGGGGGGTGTCAATGTAAATAGTCCGGGTGGCCATTTGATTAATTGTTCAGCAGTCTTATGGCTTGGGGGTAGAAGCTGTTAAGAAGCCTTTTGGTCCTAGACTTGGCGCTCCGGTACCAGTCGCAGAGGGAGGTGTTTAGTCCCAGAGTCCTTAGCTTTAGTGATGAGCTTTGTGGGCACTATGGTGTTGAACGCTGAGCTGTCATCTATCAACTGATGTGATGGCAACAAGTGTTGTCATATCCATTCATGAGTGTTAACACTGTTCAAAATGTAATTAGGATTTAGAAGAACTATAGATGATTGTCCCTTGAACCACCACTGCAGCTAGCCTACAAGGTTACACATTTGAATTTCCAAGCTCTTTGTTTTAAACCAGACAATAGTTTAATCCGGTTGCTACAACAAATAGGAAGTAATTTAAGTGGTCGTTATGCGTGTGAACAACTAAGTCCCAGCAATAGGGTATTTTCCATTGTTTCCACGTATATCTGTTGAAGAAGAAGGTCAGTTCTCACACAACCTTGCCTCAAATGACCACAAGCAACCCTGGCAGATGCTGTGAGTCATATGGCCAATTGGGATTTTTTTTTGCAATAACATTTGAGAATGTCCGGGGCTCTGGGCTTTGTTCACTGGGGCAACTGTGCATAGATATGTTAGGGTAGGGTAGGGGAATGGACTGGGAGTAGCTCTTTCAGAAAGACAAAAGTATTCTTGTGAATGGTGCTTCACCTTAATCACACATACATACGTGTTAAAGTATTATTTTTGGAAGACTCTGAAATGACTTCCTCTGTAGAGCACGTCTCTACAGGAAGTTGAATAAATAACCTTTGCAAAATCAACTGAGCTTGCCAAGAGTAGGTGTAGCCCAAGCAAGGACAATAGACCTTTATGAGTGTACAGTGTGATGGATGAAAAACAATGGCAAATTGACAGTGTGTTCAAGGTGTCTCTTTCATTAAACAACAGAGCTTTCATATTAAGGACAAAAAACTGGATGCATATGGAACTCGGGGTGTACTGCTGTACAAATCCAGCCTTCTTTTCTAGTCCACTACCTCTCTAGTACCCTTTTCTGCCATTCATTACAATGTAATTACTTAGTTATTACCAGTTCAATCGCCTCAATGAGAAATCACATTCGTCATAACATCATAACATTGAAACAAAGAACCTGGACCGGTTATGTGTGTGTGCCCTCAAGGATCAAGCCCTCGTCTAGAGATGCTATTGCTACTCTCCCCATTGGGACGCCCTCGTCCAGAGATGCCATTCCTGCTGTCCCCATTGGGACGCCCTTGTCCAGAGATGCCATTGCTACTGTCCCCATTGGGACACCCTCGTCCAGAGATGCCATTAATACTGTCCCCATTGGGACGCCCTCGTCCAGAGATGCCATTAATACTGTCCCCATTGGGACACCCTCGTCCAGAGATGCCATTAATACTGTCCCCATTGGGACGCCCTCGTCCAGAGATGCCATTGCTACTGTCCCCATTTGGACGCCCTCGTCCAAAGATGACATTGCTACTGTCCCCATTGGGACACCCTCGTCCAGAGATGCCATTAATACTGTCCCCATTGGGACACCCTCGTCCAGAGATGCCATTAATACTGTCCCCATTGGGACGCCCTCGTCCAGAGATGCCATTGCTACTGTCCCCATTTGGACGCCCTCGTCCAGAGATGCCATTGCTACTGTCCCCATTTGGACGCCCTCGTCCAAAGATGACATTGCTACTGTCCCCATTGGGATGCCCTCGTCCAGAAATGCCATTGCTACTGTCCCCATTGGGACGCACTCGTCCAGAGATGCCATTGCTACTGTCCCCATTGGGACGCACTCGTCCAGAGATGCCATTGCTACTGTCCCCATTGGGATGCACTCGTCCAGAGATGCCATTGCTGCTGTCCCCATTTGGGCGCCCTCATCCAAAGATGCCATTGCTACTGTCCCCATTGGGATGCCCTTGTCCAGAAATGCCATTGCTACTGTCCCCATTGGGACGCACTCGTCCAGAGATGCCATTGCTACTGTCCCCATTGGGATGCACTCGTCCAGAGATGCCATTGCTACTGTCCCCATTGGGATGCCCTTGTCCAGAAATGCCATTGCTGCTGTCCCCATTGGGACACACTCGTCTAGTGATGCCATTGCTACTGTCCCCATTGGGATGCACTCGTCCAGAGATGCCATTGCTGCTGTCCCCATTGGGACGCCCTCGTCCAGAGATGCCATTGCTGCTGTCCCCATTTGGGCGCCCTCATCCAAAGATGCCATTGCTACTGTCCCCATTGGGATGCCCTTGTCCAGAAATGCCATTGCTACTGTCCCCATTGGGACGCACTCGTCCAGAGATGCCATTGCTACTGTCCCCATTGGGATGCACTCGTCCAGAGATGCCATTGCTACTGTCCCCATTGGGATGCCCTTGTCCAGAAATGCCATTGCTGCTGTCCCCATTGGGACACACTCGTCTAGTGATGCCATTGCTACTGTCCCCATTGGGATGCACTCGTCCAGAGATGCCATTGCTGCTGTCCCCATTGGGACGCCCTCGTCCAGAGATGCCATTGCTACTGTCCCCATTGGGACGCACTCGTCCAGAGATGCCATTGCTACTGTCCCCATTGGGACGCACTCGTCTAGCGATGCCATTGATACTGTCCCCATTGGGACATTTGGACAATAATGTTTTTTTCTATTATTTTCTCATTCCAGCGACAGTGAACTCGACACTTCAAGACTTATGGTCAATAGTTCAGAGAAAAGCAGCAGGAGTGGTCCTTCCTTTTTCCAGCACTCGGTCGAAGGATGGCGGCTCAATTCGTCACTAGTTCTCATGATAAGGTGAGTCACTGCTTGGCCAGTTATTGACATTGGATTAGAAGAGGCTTGAATTGAAACAATGGAGCTCTTCTCTACACCACCAGCTCCCAGAGCACATTACAGTGTGTGGTCCTCTGTAGCTCAGCTGGTAGAGCACGGCGCTTGTAACGCCAAGGTAGTGGGTTCGATCCCGGGACCACCCATACACAAAAATGTATGCACGCATGACTGTAAGTCGCTTTGGATAAAAGCGTCTTCTAAATGGCATATTATTATTATTATTGTGTGAGGATTACTAACCTCATCCACCACAATTGTACAACAGCACCCAGCGATTTGGGATGCGTCCCAAATGGCACCCTATTCCCTATATAGTGCACTACTTTTGACCAGAGCCCTATAAGCCACTGGTCAAAAGTAGTGCACTGTATAGGGAATAGGGTGCCATTTGGGACGCAGATATACAGTAGGAAACCACTGGAGACTCATGAGGAGGATGACTCATTGCCAGGGTCAACATTAACTCAAGCTCATTGCTTTGCTTTTCACACTCCATTACATCACAGTTCAACCACAGTGTCACCACGTCGAATTTGACTGCATTGAGTGGCATAAGAATCTATATACCGAAGGCCGTTCTTTTTTCATTACAAACAACCCAGTCAATAAGTCTATGCTACTTATGTACTGCTTCTGAAGAAGTCTGTGTACTAATTCTATACAGTATATCATAAAGGAGTTGTGATAGTTATGTCATTATACTCCCAACAACACTGTTGTATTATATAGTAACTTTGGAGAGGTTGTCATTGTGGAGGTTGTCTTCCTTTTTAGCCACCAGAAATACACATCTTTCAGTATTCCCTCTGGTGGGGTCAGTCGTGTCTGACCACGCCCACCCAGTTGGGAGCCAAGCCCACCCAATCAGATTTCTTTTTTACTTGTCAGTGTTCCAAATAGAACATTATTTGTCTGATTTTTTTTTTTCTTCTCTTTGCCCCATTGCAAAATGTCAAAACATTTAAGGAAGTTAGCTGCAAGCACGACCACCAGCTAATTTCTGACTACACCACTGCGTATGTGCTTAAATTACGGTGAGACAACTTTTCTTTTTATTGGGCAAATGTGCCTTCCATGCCTAAGAATAGCAGCCCGCCCCTCTGTCTCCGTGTCTGGGGAATCGTCTAAGTAGGACTGCAGTAGAACACATAGCCCTCTGAGACAGCGAAAAAGAGACGGAAAAGTTGCTCAAACTGCAAAAGTCTCATTACTGTACGACTTAAGAGGCTTTTTGCTCATTTAGCCGAGCCTTTGTTCAGGGACTTATTTCCGTGCTTCTATTTTTTCCCCCACGCAGCATATTGTAATTACGAAGCCAATCAAGATATTGCTATTTGACTCGCTGTGAAAAATGTAGGCCATTTATCTTCTTGGTTTTTGTCTTACCCACCTAATGTTTCAAGCTTTACCGCTGGTTGACTGGAACACATTGCACCAGCATTTTAGGGAGCCTGGTATACTGTAGTTCTTTTCTTTCTTTCTTTCTTTCTTTCTTATTATTTTAATTTTTTTGCTTCATCGTCTTGCTTACCTTTAGACGTTTTTGAGACACCATGCTGTTTGTCGCTGTCATGTTGGAAGCATGCTTACATCTGTCACAACAGGAGACCTGTAATGAATCAAAACAGAGCATCCCCATTAAGATTTCATCATTAACAACCAGAGAACTGTGACATATTTTCATCAAATAGAGAACAGAGGTGTGTAGCCTCCTCATCCCCCAACATCAGAAGAACTGAATTGATCAGACAATGGAACTTTGGAGAGGTTCCATAAACCTTTCATGTCTAAACCCCTTACCACGTGCTGAAGCCAACTCCTATATCATTGCCATGTTATGGAGAAGAGATGGCAGCAGCACATACAGTAGGCCTATGGGATAAGTTTAACATACAGTAGGCCTATGGGATAAGTTTAACATGCAGTAGGCCTATGGGATAAGTATATCATACAGTAGGCCTATGGGATAAGTTTATCATACAGTAGGCCTATGGGATACGTTTATCATACAGTAGGCCTATGGGATAAGTTTAACATACAGTAGGCCTATGGGATAAGTTTAACATGCAGTAGGCCTATGGGATAAGTATATCATACAGTAGGCCTATGGGATAAGTTTATCATACAGTAGGCCTATGGGATACGTTTATCATACAGTAGGCCTATGGGATAAGTTTAACATACAGTAGGCCTATGGGATAAGTTTATCATACAGTAGGCCTATGGGATAAGTTTAACATACAGTAGGCCTATGGGATAAGTTTATCATACAGTAGGCCTATGGGATAAGTTTAACATACGGTAGGCCTATGGGATAAGTTTATCATACAGTAGGCCTATGGAATAAGTCTATCATACAGTATTCCTATGGGATAAGTCTATCATACAGTAGGCCTATGGGATAAGTCAATCATACAGTAGGCCTATGGGATACGTTTATCATACAGTAGGCCTATGGGATACGTTTATCATACAGTAGGCCAATGGGATAATTTTAACATACAGTAGGCCTATGGGATAAGTTTATCATACAGTAGGCCTATGGGATAAGTTTAACATACAGTAGGCCTATGGGATAAGTTTAACATACGGTAGGCCTATGGGATAAGTTTATCATACGGTAGGCCTATGGGATAAGTTTATCATACAGTAGGCTAATGGGATAAGTTTAACATACAGTAGACCTATGGGATAAGTTTATCATACAGTAGGCCTATGGGATAAGTTTAACATACAGTAGGCCTATGGGATAAGTGTATCATACAGTAGGCCTATGGGATAAGTCTATCATACAGTATTCCTATGGAATAAGTCTATCATACAGTAGGCCTATGGGATAAGTCAATCATACAGTAGGCCTATGGGATACGTTTATCATACAGTAGGCCTATGGGATACGTTTATTATACAGTAGGCCTATGGGATAAGTGTATCATACAGTAGGCCTATGGGATACGTTTATCATACAGTAGGCCTATAGGATAAGTTTAACATACAGTAGGCCTATGGGATAAGTTTATCATACAGTAGGCCTATGGGATAAGTCTATCATACAGTATTCCAATGGAATAAGTCTATCATACAGTAGGCCTATGGGATAAGTCAATCATACAGTAGGCCTATGGGATACGTTTATCATACAGTAGGCCTATGGGATACGTTTATTATACAGTAGGCCAATGGGATAAGTTTAACATACAGTAGGCCTATGGGATAAGTTTATCATACAGTAGGCCTATGGGATACATGTATCATACCCATCAGACCCATGGGGCGGCGCACAATTGGCCCAGCGTCGTCCAGGGTAGGGGAGGGAATGGCCGGCAGGGATGTAGCTCAGTTGGTAGAGCATGGCGTTTGCAACGCCAGGGTTGTGGGTTCGATTCCCACGGGGGGCCAGTATGAAAAATTGTATGCACTAACTGTAAGTCGCTCTGGATAAGAGCGTCTGCTAAATGACTAAAATGTAAAATGTAAAATCATACAGTAGGCCTATGGGATAAGTTTAACATACAGTAGGCCTATGGGATAAGTTTATCATACAGTAGGCCTATGGGATACGTTTATTATACAGTAGGCCTATGGGATAAATTTAACATACAGTAGGCCAATGGGATAAGTTTAACATACAGTAGGCCTATGGGATAAGTTTAACATACAGTAGGCCAATGGGATAAGTTTAACATACAGTAGACCTATGGGATAAGTTTAACATACAGTAGGCCAATGGGATAAGGGTATCTTTTTTATTATTTTATTATTATTATTTATTTTTTGTCATTTAGCAGATGCTCTTATCCAGAGCGACTTACAGTTAGTGAGTGCATACATTATTTTTTATTTATTTTTTCATACTGGCCCCCCCATGGGAATCGAACCCACAATCCTGGCGTTGCAAACGCCATGCTCTACCAACTGAGCTACATCCCTGCCGGTCATTCCCTCCCCTACCCTGGACGACGCTGGGCCAATTGTGCGCCGCCCCATGGGTCTCCCGGTCGCGGCCGGCTACGACAGCTAGCACTGCGATGCAGTGCCTTAGACCACTGCGCCACTCGGGAGCCCAAACCCAGACCTGGACTAAAAAGCCCTTTTAATGGAGGTTCTCCATTGTGAATGCTTTTTAGTCCGATACTACTCTTAATCTGTCTCTGGGAAATCAGACATTAATAAAGGGTTTACTTAGGTCACTACAGTACAATGCTGTTCTCTTCTGACTAACATACAGGAAGGACGTGCTGCGTTTCCTGGATGCTGAGAGGGACGTTTCAGTGGTGAAGAGCAGTTTCAAACCAGGCGACACTATCCACTACGTCCTCGACAGACGCCGAACGCTCAACATCTCCCACACGCTGCACAGCCTGCTACCGGACGTCTCTCCGCTCAAGAACAAGCGCTTCAAGACATGCGCGGTGGTGGGCAACTCCGGCGTGCTTCTCAACAGCGGATGTGGCAAGGAAATCGACAGGCATGACTTTGTCATACGGTACTGCTGCTGCCTCTCAAAAGGATAGTTCACTGTTTATACAATCCGAAATAATTATGCAGCTAGAGTACTTTCAGTACAGAGCACAAACTGCTGATGCGTTTTGCATCATATGATATGAATGACCCCTTTTAAGGCTACAATGTCTGGTCTATGTTTTATTAGCCAAGGGTTAGGACTTCTTAACGCCGTTAAGGCATTGAAATTCTCTGACACTCTATGAGAAAAGGTTGGATCTTTTTGCCCGGCAAAAAAATACGTAATGCAGTTTGGCTCCGCTATCATTAGCCCTTCCAGAACGTATATGTTCATAGAAAACACTCAAGGTAATGACAATATTAGCTGTAATTATCTCATGGATAGAAGCCACATATTGGATCAACACATAAGGAGAAATTATTCCCCCGTCTGCATTTAATGAGCGGTTCTTGGGTTTATGTGCCCATGCGGGCCACATTAAATTAAATCAGGAAAATAGCATCACTCTTCTCTTGTCTAGTGTTTGGGTTTGCCTCTAGCTTAGTGACACTTCCATACAAATATTACTAGATGATAAGAATTTAAATTACCTTAGCATTTATAACAGTCAGGTTCATATGTCATATTGTATGACGTGACATCGATAAGAAGATTGTGTTATGATTCATAAATGGTTGTTGTGAATATTAAACAGACAAAGCCAGAAGCACATACTGTTAGTGTTGATCAAAGATGCTACTTCTGAATAGTCTGCCTCGTGATGCAATACCACAACTTGTTGAAGCACAGTAAAGAGGAAGGAAATACATTCCACCAATATTTCCATTTGTGCCGTCAGCCCAGTACAGACATAATGATGATGATGCCCCAAATGGCACGCTATCCCCTATAGTGGGCTTCTTTTGACGAGGGCCCAAAGTTATTGTCTGCAGAGTATTGAGTGGAGTTGAATCGTAGCCTCTAGAACATCGCTCTTCATTCCTGGACCTGGAATGCTACAGGGTGTACACAAGGTTTTGTTCCAGCCCAGCACTAACACACCTGATATAACTCATCAAGGTTAGTGTGTACAGTGCCTTGCAAAAGTGTTCATCCCCCTTGGCGTTTCTTCCAATTTTGTTGCATTACAACCTGTAATTTAAATGGATTTTTATTTGGATTTCATGTAATGGACATACACAAAATAGTCCAAATTGGTGAAGTGAAAATTCTAAAAAATAAATAACGGAAAAGTGGTGCGTGCATATGTATTCACCCCCTTTGCTATGAAGCCCCTAAATAAGATCTGGTGCAACCAATTACCTTCAGAAGTCACATAATTAGTAGTTAACTAAAGTCCACCTGTGTGCAATCTAAGTGTCACATGATCTGTCACATGATCTCAGTATAAATACTGTTCTTCTACTAATCTCACTGCAACTCCCCTCCAAGTCTCCGACCACTACTTTGTATCCTTTTCTCTCTCGCTCTCCACCTACACTACTCACTCAGCCCCTACTCAGATGGTAATGTGCCGTCGCAACCTTCGCTCTCTCTCTCTCCCGCTACTCTCTCCTCTTCCATCCTATCATCTCTTCCCTCTGCTAAATCCTTCTCCCTCCGATCTCCTGATTCTGCCTCCTCAACCCTCCTCTCCTCCCTTTCTGCATCTTTTGACTCTCTATGTCCCCTATCCTCCCGGCCGGCTCAGTCCTCCCCTCCTGCTCCGTGGCTTGACGACTCATTGCGAGCTCACAGACCAGGGCTCCGGGCAGCCGAGCGGAAATGGAGGAAAACTAGACTCCCTGCGGACCTGGCATCTTTTCACTCCCTCCTCTCTACATTTTCTTCCTCTGTTTCTGCTGCTAAATCCACTTTCTAAATTCCAAGCATATGCCTCTAACCCTAGGAAGCTCTTTGCCACCTTCTCCTCCCTGCTGAATTCCCCCCCCCCCCCCCCCCTCTGTGGATGACTTCGTCAACCATTTTGAAAAGAAGATTGACGACATCTGATCATCGGTGGTTAAGTCAAATGACACTGCTGGTCCTGCTCACACTGCCCTACCCTATGCTTTGACTTCTTTCTCCCCTCTCTCTCCAGATGAAATCTTGCGACTTGTGACGGCTGGCCGGCCACCCAACAACATGCCCGCTTGACCCTATCCCCTCCTCTCTTCTCCAGACCATTTCCGGAGACCTTCTCCCTTACCTCACCTCGCTCATCAACTCATCCTTGACCGCTGGCTATGTCCCTTCTGTCTTCAAGAGAGCGAGAGTTGCACCCCTCCTCAAAAAACCTACACTCGATCCCTCCGATGTCAACAACTACAGACCAGTATCCCTTCTTTCTTTTCTCTCCAAAACTCTTGAGCGTGCCGTCTCTAGCCAACTCTCCTGCTATCTCTCTCAGACTGACATTCTTGATCCAAACCAGTCAGGTTTCAAGACTGGTCATTCAACTGAGACTGTTCTTCTCTGTGTCACGGAGGCTCTCCGCACTGCTAAAGCTAACTCTCTCTCTTCTGCTCTTATCCTTCTAGACCTATCTGCTCCCTTTGATACTGTGAACCATCAGATCCTCCTCTCCACCCTCTCCGGGTTGGGCATCTCCGGCGCTGCTCACTCTTGGATTGCGTCCTACCTGACAGGTCGCTCCTACCAGGTGGCGTGGCGAGAATCTGTCTCCGCACCACGTGCTCTCACAACTGGTGTTCCCCAGGGCTCAGTTCTAGGCCCTCTCCTATTCTCTCTATACACCAAGTCACTTGGCTCTGTCATATCCTCACATGGTCTCTCCTATCATTGCTACGCAGACGACACACAATTAATTTTCTCCTTTCCCCCTTCTGATAACCAGGTGGCGAATCGCATCTCTGCATGTCTGGCAGACATATCAGTGTGGATGTCGGATCACCACCTCAAGCTGAACATCGGCAAGACGGAGCTGTTCTTCCTCCTGGGGAAGGACTGCCCGCTCCATGATCTCGCCATCACGGTTGACAACTCCATTGTGTCCTCCTCCCATAGTGCAAAGAACCTTGGCGTGACCCTGGACAACACCCTGTCGTTCTCCGCTAACATCAAAGCGGTGACCCGATCCTGCAGGTTCATGCTCTACAACATTCGCAGAGTACGACCCTACCTTACACAGAAAGCGGCACAGGTCCTAATCCAGGCACTTGTCATCTCCCGTCTGGATTACTGCAACTCGCTGTTGGCTGGGCTTCCTGCCTGTGCCATTAAACCCCTACAACTTATCCAGAACGCTGCAGCCCGTCTGGTGTTCAACCTTCCCAAGTTCTCTCATGTCACCCCGCTCCCCCTCACACTCCACTGGCTTCCAGTTGAAGCTCGCATCTACCGTGCTTGCCTACGGAGCTGTGAGGGGAACGGCACCTCCTTACCTTCAGGCTCTGATCAGACCCTACACCCAAACGAGGGCACTACGTTCATCCAACTCTGGCCTGCTAACCCCCCTACCTCTACGGAAGCACAATTTCCGCTCAGCCCAGTCAAAGCTATTCGCTGCTCTGGCACCCCAATGGTGGAACAAGCTCCCCCACGACGCCAGGACAGCGGAGTCACTGACCACCTTCCGGAGACACTTGAAACCCTACCTCTTTAAGGAATACCTGGAATAGTCTAACAGTAATCCTTCTACACCCGCCTCTCCCCCAGTGGTGGTTGTCCCACTGGCTATCCTAAGTTGAATGCACCAAGTCGCTCTGGATAAGAGCGTCTGCTAAATGACTTAAATGTAAACGTAATATACACCTGTTCTGAAAGGCCTCAGAGTCTGCAACACCACTAAGCAAGCGGCACCATGAAGACCAAGGAGCTCTCCAAACAGGTCAGGGACAAAGTTGTGGAGAAGTACAGATCAGGGTTGGGTTATAAAAAAATATCTGAAACTTTGAACATTCCACGGAGCACCATTTAAATCCATTATTACAAAATTGAAAGAATATGGCACCATAACAAACCTGCCAAGAGAGGGCCGCCCATCAAAACTCACGGACCAGGCAAGGAGGGCATTAATCAGAGAGGCAACAAAGAGACCAAAGATAACCCTGAAGGAGCTGCAAAGCTCCACAGCAGAGATTGGAGTATCTGTCCATAGGACCACTTTAAGCCGTACACTCCACAGAGCTGGGCTTTACGGAAGAGTGGCCAGAAAAAAGCCATTGCTTAAAGACAAAAATAAGCAAACACGTTTGGTGTTCGCCAAAAGGCATGTGGGAGACGCCCCAAACATATGGAAGAAGGTACTCTGGTCATATGAGACAAAAATTTAGCTTTTTGGCCATCAAGGAAAATGCTTTGTCTGGCGCAAGCCCAATACCTCTCATCACCCCGAGAACACCATCCCCACAGTGAAGCATGGTGGTGGCAGCATCATGCTGTGGGGATGTTTTTCATCGGCAGGGACTGGGAAACTGGTCAGAATTGAAGGAATGATGGATGGCGCTAAATACAGGGACATTCTTGAGGGAAACCTGTTTCAGTCTTCCATAGATTTGAGACTGGGACGGAGGTTCACCTTCCAGCAGGACAATGACCCTAAGCATACTGATAAAGCAACACTTGAGTGGTTTAAGGGGAAACATTTAAATGTCTTGGAATGGCCTAGTCAAAGCCTAGACCTCAATCCAATTGAGAATCTGTGGTCTGACTTGAAGGACCTGGAGCAGTTTTGCCTTGAAGAATGGGCAAATATCCCAGTGGCTAGATGTGCCAAGCTTATAGAGACATACCCCAAGAGACTTGCAGCTGTAATTGCTGTAAAAGGTGGCTCTACAAAGTATTGACTTTGGGGGAAGGGGGTGTGAATAGTTATGCATGCTCAAGTTTTCTGTTTTTTTTGGGTCTTATTTCTTGTTTGTTTCACACAAAAAATAAATTTGCATCTTCAAAGTGGTAGGCATGTTGTGTAAATCAAATGATACAAACCCCCCAAAAATCCATTTTAATTCCAGGTTGTAAGGCAACAAAATAGGAAAAATGCCAAGGGGGGTGAATACTTTCGCAAGCCACTGTAAGTGCAAGGCTGGAACAAAAATTAGCATTAACACTGAGCTTTTCCAGGACCCGGGAGTGAAGACTCTGAAGATCGACCACCCTTACAAAGAACAGCATTTATTCTCCCCCTCTTTAAGCTTATTGGTATTGAAAGTGTGTTGAGGTCGAGGTCGTACTCTTTCTCTAATGGCTCTCTCTCTATCCGTTGTTGACTTAGCTGTAACCTGGCGCCGCTGGCCGAGTTCGCCGAGGACGTGGGGCTGCGGTCCGACTTCACCACCATGAACCCCTCTGTCATCCAGAGGGTGTACGGCGGCCTGAAGAACGCCACGGACACGGAGAGGTTCGTCCAGCGCCTGCGGATGCTCAACGACAGCGTGCTGTGGATTCCGGCCTTCATGGTGAAGGGAGGAGAGAGGCACGTGGAGAGCGTCAACGAGCTCATCGTCAAGAGGAAGCTGAGGGTGAGGACGGCCTACCCGTCGCTGAGGCTCATCCACGCGGTGAGAGGGTGAGTTGAGTTTTGCCACACGTGTACTATATGCATGAACACATTGACACACATTCTCACATACGGTATACACTACAGTACACACACACACACACAGTCAGGTAGCTGTTCATAAAGAGTCTGTTATGGGCCATTAAATGCTTACCTATTATACAATTGGTTGCATCTTACAGCTCAGTATAAAGTAAGCCATGCACATATACACACACACACACACACACACACACCACATATCACACACACACACACACACCACATATACACACACACACACACACACCACATATCACACACACACACACACCAAATTAAAGGTGCATTAGCATGATACTCTTAATTAACAGAACAGTATTTCTTACCTTCATAAAGAGATAGTCTGCTATGGGACATTAATTAAGTGTTTGCATATAATACAATTGGTAGCACTTTACAACTCAGTAAATTAAAGATGATATCATTATACAGGTACAGCTCTCATACTATTACAACATTAGAGCCCCTTAATGTTGACAAAGTAAAGTTATAGTATGCATCCCAAATGGCACCCTATTCCCTATATAATGGAGGGACCCTGGTCAAAAGTAGTGCACCATGTAGGGAATAGGGTACCATATGGGAAGCACCCTAGAGGTCTGAGATCTGAGGTCTAATGCATTCTATCAATGTGCCATTCATTGTTCATTTTGTTGGGAGAAAAACATTTCAAATTATTGATTGAAACTAGCCTGGTCCCAGATCTGTTTGTGCTGTCTCACCAACTCCTATGGTCACTGTCACATGTTGTCGTGACAGTTGGCAAGACAACACAAACAGATCGTAGACCAGGCTAGACTGAAGTACTGCCTCTCTAACCCTTTAACATTATTTTTACCCCTAGAGATAGACCAGTGATGTCGTTCTCTGTTTGTTTTCATCTCATTGGAACCCACATTTTTTCAATGGAAATATAAATTATTTTCAATTTGGTGTCTAAACCCCATGAATCTGGTGTCTAAACCTAATGAATCTGGTGTCTAAACCCCATGAATCTGGAGACCATACCCCATGCATCTGGTGTCTAAACCTAATGAATCTGGTGTCTAAACCCCATGCATCTGGTGTCTAAACCTAATGAATCTGGTGTCTAAACCCCATGAATCTGGAGTCCATACCCCATGAATCTGGAGTCCATACCCCATGAATCTGGAGTCCATACCCCATGAATCTGGAGTCCATACCCCATGAATCTGGAGTCCATACCCCATGAATCTGGAGTCCATACCCCATGAATCTGGAGTCCATACCCCATGAATCTGGAGTCCATACCCCATGAATCTGGTGTCTAAACCCCATGAATCTGGTGTCTAAACCCCATGAATCTGGTGTCTAAACCCCATGAATCTGGTGTCCAAACCCCATGAATCTGGTGTCCAAACCCCATGAATCTGGAGTCCAAACCCCATGAATCTGGTGTCTAAACCCCATGAATCTGGAGTCCAAACCCCATGAATCTGGAGTCCAAACCCCATGAATCTGGAGTCCAAACCCCATGAATCTGGAGTCCAAACCCCATGAATCTGGAGTCCATACCCCATGAATCTGGCCGTAATGACTAGAGAGGGAGTTTGCGTCCCAAATGGCACCTTATTCCCTATATAGTGCACTACTTTTGACCAGGGCCCATAGTGAGCTCTGGTCAAAAGTAGTGCACTATATAGGGAATAGGGTGCCATTTAGAATGCAGTCAGAGGGAAGTCACGCCATAGCAACTGCCCCCCCACTGCTGTCGTCCAGCATCAAAGGGGGTGTAGAGCTAGGAGGAGCTACCTGCGGTGACCTCTAAAGGGGGCTAAGAGCTAGCTACCTGGGGTGACCTCTAAAGGGGGTGTGGAGCTAGGAGCTAGCTACCTGGGGTGACCTCTATAGGGGGTGTGGAGCTAGGAGCTAGCTACCTGGGGTGACCTCTAAAGGGGGCTAAGAGCTAGCTACCTGGGGTGACCTCTAAAGGGGGTGTGGAGCTAGGAGCTAGCTACCTGGGGTGACCTCTATAGGGGGCGTGGAGCTAGGAGCTATTTACCTGGGGTGACCTCTAAAGGGGGTGTGGAGCTAGGAGCTAGCTACCTGGGGTGACCTCTATAGGGGGCGTGGAGCTAGGAGCTAGCTACCTGGGGTGACCTCTAAAGGGGGCTAAGAGCTAGCTACCTGGGGTGACCTCTATAGGGGGCGTGGAGCTAGGAGCTAGCTACCTGGGGTGACCTCTAAAGGGGGCTAAGAGCTAGCTACCTGGGGTGACCTCTATAGGGGGCGTGGAGCTAGGAGCTAGCTACCTGGGGTGACCTCTAAAGGGGGCGTGGAGCTAGGAGCTAGCTACCTGGGGTGACCTCTAAAGGGGGCGTGGAGCTAGGAGCTAGCTACCTGGGGTGACCTCTATAGGGGGCGTGGAGCTATGAGCTAGCTACCTGGGGTGACCTCTATAGGGGGCATGGAGCTAGGAGCTAGCTACCTGGGGTGATCCCTAAAGGGGGCGTAGAGATAGGAGGAGCTACCTGCGGTGACCTCTAAAGGGGGTGTGGAGCTAGGAGCTAGCTACCTGGTGTGACCTCTAAAGGGGGCGTGGAGCTAGGAGCTAGCTACCTGAGGTGATCTCTAAAGGGGGCGTGGAGCTAGGAGCTAGCTACCTGGGGTGACCTCTAAAAGGGGCGAGGAGCTACCTGCGGTGCGTCGTGTTAGTATGCACTGCTTCACGCAGCATGGTAAAGTAACCGGGCAACCCGCCTATCACATCTCCCCACGCCACAATCAGCACGCCATTCCACATGCGTTCTCATCAGGCTACATTTCCGTCTGTGCTCATGTCTTCATACGCAGATAGATTGCTAGGGATAAGACAATGTCCAATGTGATTGGCTTCAATTCAATTCCAATTTAGAACTCTGCGAGCCACGGAGGAAAGGATAGAGACAGTGAAAGGAGTGATGAGAAAAACGTATTTGAAAGGAGAAAGTGTGTGGGACCTTATTTAGAAACGTTGTTATCACGAACATACGGTTTAGGAGCTCAAGCTTCTCCGTAGGAGTTAAAGAGAGGGTAATTGTGACGGTCGTCATTTTCCCCGGCACAAAAACACAGCAATGTATTAATTGTCCAATTGACTGGTTGATGAGTTAATTGTTTTGTGGGTTGATCGTTAGCCGTGCAGTTCCCCCAGGGGCACGCGTTGTGACCGTCTGATTTTATGGGCACATTCAATGTCCTTGTGAGTTGCCATAGCAGCCAAGCACCGTGTTCTTTCAGTTCGAGTTTTCTGCTGCCCTGCCTCGCTGCTAAATATAGTTCGGTTGAAGGAGGAACATGGCTAACAGGTCCACGGGACAGACCTATCTAAATTGTCTTCATTTAAAGGCCCAACCTGTGATAGGTACAGCCATTTTTGATTGTTTAAATTAATGATATATACTGTATATATACAGTACACCGAGTGATTCTAGAGAATATTACTTATAAATGCCTCTTGGCTTTTTATAGTTCAACTGTCTCTTTCTCAATTGTCTATGTAAACAAACAATGTGTATAGCTACAAAATGTGGTTTAAACTATCATGTTGACCTCATGGACTATGGAGGACTAAAAGTGCCACAATTAAATAAATAAATACACCATTAAATAATTACTTAAATGTGTCATTAATTAATTAAAATTAGAATTAAATACATAAATGTGTTATTAAATGTGTCATTAATTAATTCAAATACCGATTCATTTTATGTAAAATACATATATAATAATTTCACTATTTACATTTACATTTCATGGTCCTGCGTTGGAGTGCTTCCTGAATTACTTAAAACTGTCAAACTGACCCATCAAAAGTTGGTAGGCGGAACCTAACGCCTGATTGGTTACCCTCTGCATCAAGCCAAGACAAATCAATTCCGGATAATGTCAGCAGGTCCTGCTTCTACATCCTCTGCTAAGTTTAAAATGTCTCTAACCAACTCCCTGGAAAGTTCACGGAGATCCTCCATTGTCTCTATCCAGGTTGGCCTACTCTACTTCAGACCAAAGCAATGGATCAGACTAGATTCGCGTTAGCCCCGCCCACTGACTTTGATGGGTCAGTTTGACAGTTTTAAGTAATTCATGAATCACTGCAATGCAGGATCATGAAATGTAAATGTAAATAGTGAAATAATTATATATGTATTTTACATAAAATGAATCGGTATTTGAATTAATTAATGATACATTTAATTACACATTTATGTATTTAATTCTAATTTTAATTAATTAATGACACATTTAAGTAATTATTTAATGGTGTATTTATTTATTTAATTGTGGCACTTTTAGTCCTCCATAATGGACTGTCAGTCCTTGCATCCATTAAATGGAGAGTCGTTACATTTCTCAAGCCCCATCCCCCGGCTTTATAGCAAACCATGACTGAAAAATAAAGATTGTGGCTTAAAGTAAAACAAATATATATATATATATATATATATATATGTTTAGGACGGCACTGGCCCTTATAATTACCATTATCTGTGATAATTTGGGTGGGATCAAGTGCTAGCCACCCAGATAGCACACAAACCTCAACATAGGTACGATGTGTACAGGATACATCAGGAATATGTAGTTTGGACATCTTTTGAACATTGGCAAGAGTATTGACGATGTATTTCGAATGCCTACATTCTAAAATCTACAGGCATCAACGTTCTATTTTAATATCTCTGTGATGTCTTCCCAATGTGCAAACGCTTTCCACATTACATATTCCCAACGCAATTTCTTATGTCAGCTGAGCCAGACGTGTACATGTTTACTGGGCGCTGACCCACTGCAAATAATATTTTTATCCCGCACACTTCAGGCTCAATATTCAGTTCACTGGACAGTGCATTGTGTTATTGTAAAAAGATCAAGTGCAGAGGCAAATAATGATTTACGTATGTCTGTGTTTATTTGGTCAATAGCAAAAAGGACTTGGATTTGTTTCCCCAGCATGACATCTGGAGAATGTGCTCTTTTTTTCATCCAATCCAAATTATCATTCTCCTCGACACACACGTCTGTCTTGGGAATTGGAAACTGTCGGTTGTTCTTTAATTCATCAGTTGTTGGGAGTCTCTCTCAAAAAATTTCCCTTTTCTGTTTCGAATCCATTGACGTGTTGAAGCCTCCAAGGATGCAGCCCATAAGCCTTCGGCATGAATATAACTTGAGTACGGAGGAGCTGTCATTACATTCAATTAGTAGTCTGAGCTGTTATTCTATCACAAAACAACGTTGCCGCCAGCATTATTTAGGCTACTATAGAGAATTGGAGCCATTTTGAGTGTTTTAGGGAATACGTACCTGGCACTCTGCTGTTGTATTGTGGATTACTAGAGATAACAGCGGTGAGATGTTTGTAGCCATCTGTATCAGTAATGGAATCAGGTTACTGTAAGTCTGAGCGAGGCTTAGTAAAACAAGTTGTTCTTGTTTTCCAGGTACTGGCTGACAAACAAGATCAATATCAAACGGCCCAGCACCGGATTGTTGATGTACACTTTGGCCACGCGCTTCTGCGACGAGATTCACTTGTATGGATTCTGGCCCTTTCCGCGGGACTCAAATGGAAATGTGGTGAAGTACCATTACTACGACTTGCTCAAGTATCGATACTTCTCCAACGCAGGCCCTCACAGGATGCCACTGGAGTTCAAAACGCTGAAAATGCTGCACAGTAAAGGAGCTCTGAAGTTGACGACTTCGAAGTGCGAATCTTAAAGTGCTCTTCCTCGACGGAGTGCCATTTTGTGGCATAAACGGACACTTTGTTTGCGTTACTAGAAAGCACACAAGGCTGTATGACTGCTGAGTTGACTACGGAGGACAGTTGATGATGAATAATTGCAAAAGTAGCAAGTAAAAGTGAGCGTGCCTTTTTTTAAATGAACAATGTAAAGGTACAAAACAAAGAATGTAATTGAAAAATGATTAGTCTTATCTAAATGTCAGGTTTGGCATTGTAAGCATCATGGCTGAGAAATCAGGAAACCAAACCTTTGGATGGAGCATCAGAGACGACCAGATTGATTACAATACCATGGATTTCTACACTGGTCATTGCAGTAGTTCTCTAATAGACAAAGCACGAAGACCGGTGGCTGCGGTGTGTTAGCGATTACCTGCTGGGTGTAGACCAACGGTGGTGATTCAACATGTGAAACCGTCGGGAAATGAACAGAAAACGACTGTCTGAGGTGATATTCTGGTCAGAGGCGACACCAAGCCCACATCAGCCCGACACGGGCTAGCCCACAACAAGTCCAACACAGACTAGTCCACAACTATTCCACATCAGCCCAAAACAAGATACTCTACACAGGCTAGCCCACACCAAGCCCACATCAGCCCAACACAGGCTAGCCCACACCAGCCCAATGCAGGGCTTTCCCACACCAGCCCAATGCAGGGCTAGCCCATACCAGCCCAATGCAGGGCTTTCCCACACCAGCCCAATGCAGGGCTTTCCCACACCAGCCCAATGCAGGGCTAGCCCATACCAGCCCACCAGATCTTGGACACTGTCTTAAAAGAAAAACTTTAATGAGTGACATGAGAAACTAGTGTTTCTGATGTAATGTAACCTAAATACCTTTTAAGGCTTGAAAATGATAATATGTATGCATTGAGTTGAATTGTAATAATTAAATAATACATAAATTAATTAATATTAAATAATAGAAAAAAACTGATAAATTGTCAGGGCCAATACTGGAGCCTGAATGGGCAGCTGATCCAAAGTGAGGTCTGCCTTCACCAGATATGGGCTGCCCACACTGGGCCAATGCCTTGGGAGCCAGCAAAGGTGCATCGGCCCAATGTGGGCAGCCTACAGGGGGCCAATATTTTGGCCCACATCATGCCAATGTGGGCATGTTTGCTGGGCAACCCGCTTGTTTCAACCATTTTTGTCGTCATGATGTTTTGTCAGTAAGAGAAAGCAGAGAATACAGGTTCTGCTCAGTAAATTAGATTTTTGGATATAAAAAAAATTAATAATAATGTGCCCAGAAAAGTTAATTCCAAAGATCCCATGCTCATTTATCAAAAGAAGGTGTTGTTCTTCACAGCTGAACTTTCTATGAATTAGAAGCCTCAGGGCAGAATTATTTTTATATTTGTCTAGATGTCAGATTAATTTATACATTTTCAATATGTATGCTGTTTCTAAGTGATTCATCTCATGTTATCTGAACACACCTTTTGTAAACTTGTATGTTAAAGGGGAATGGAAACGTACATCAAGTTAGGCCTTTTTAGACAATTGTTATTCATTAGTATGCATTATTGGACTTTATACAACGGGTGAGTCTAATCCTGAATGCTGATTGGTTAAAACCGCATTCCAGACGGTGTCTATTCCACGAGTTACCACTGGCTAAATTTATGACATTAAAATGCCTATTTACTCTGTTCCATCTGACTGCGCAATCCACTGTCTCATCAGCCCAGCCAGGCAATTTATAAACTTGATCTCCAATATAAAAAGCATCTAGACATTATCTCACATTTCTTTTAGACTAACATTTAGTTTTCAACAGCGGAGATTTATATAAACCTTGCTGTCTGTTTCTCCGACATTCGCAACATTGTTTCAGTATTCAAATTTGATCTCCAGCTGTCCCATAGTAATGAACGTGTTGGGAGTCGGGATGAGACAGACAGGCAGGCAGCGTTTCTCAGCCAGTCAAATCATGAACAACAGTGTCCTGACGAGTGAGCACATTTTCTATGCCAGGCTAAATCGCGCCTCATTAGCTCATTGTTGTGTATGTATCCAAATAAATGTCACTAGAAAACAGCTTAAACAAATGCAAATACAGATACTTCACTGTTATTCTGGCTGCACTTTTTTCACCTTGCGGTGCGTTGTGAGGTCACAAAGCGGTTGCAGAGCCTCTACAGAGGACCCCTGGGGGAGTATAAATCTCCACTAACTGATTAATCTGATCCAGTTAATTAAACGTTACCATTCCCTTTTAAACAGAGCTGAATGTAAACACAGCCCAATGCCATTGGATCAATTGGCCTATGTAGCCATTGCAAGTCTAAAAATGTATAAGAAAAAAGCTGATGTTAGGAAAGTGGACGTATTAATTTTATGTAAGCCTATGAATTCTTCCTTAGCAATCAGATCTTTCTGTGATTGTTCTTAGTAACAGGATTGTTCTTAGTAACAGGATTCAACGTCAGTCTGTTTCACTGTTGAATCTCTTTCAAATCACACAGAAGTACCTCTTAGATATTTGATATATTTGAACTACTGCATGCTCATGCTATCCTGTAGTAACTTCAATTTATGTCCTGTATTTACATAATGTCAAGACAACTGCCCTTTCCCAGTTTCTTTAATAGGCTTGAATGTAATGCATTTATCTCACAATATGGATGATGTCATGCAAATGCTAACGAATGTTCTAAAAGGTCTGCCTCGAAGAGCCATTGTATGCTCAAGGAATTGTTAATTGAATTTTTTTTACCTGCCAAGTGAAATTAAAATATCATTTTTTTTGGGGTACTGTCAGTATTAAGAAAATCCAGTTGCTTACAGCTAAAAGATTGTATGTATCTAGGGGCCTATATATGAAAGCCTGGGACCGTATTCATACGTCTTCCCAGAGTAGTAGTGCTAATCTGGGACCATGTCCTCCCTGTCCATGTAATGTTATTCTGATCTAAAAGGCTAAACTGATCCTAAACTGATCAGCACTCCTTCTCTGAGCTGCTTCATTAATTCGGGCCCTGGACACCACTAATTTCTCCTTCCACCAGCCTCCACTGCAAGACACCAACTTCTGGTATATGGTGGCATAAATTATGTAAAATGTCCAAAAACGTTGCTTTGTAATGAATAATATGAATAGCACTGATGTAATTGGGTATGTGGCAGGTCATTTGTAAACGTTCCATTGTCATTGACAATGACCTAGATAGAATGTGAAAATGTATATACATGGTAACACTGAATAAGGAAAACAATGAACGTTAATTCATTCATCGTAGGCTAACCATTATAATGAGACATAAGGTGGAATTACTTTCTTCTTCAATACTGCCACTAGCCTTTTGATATGACGGAAATTGTTACGCTTCGTCTGCTTTGTTGCACCATGTGTCTGTTTTTGACTGTTCATACATCTGTAATTTATACAATTCTTGTGTGATGTTTTAATATTGTAAAACCTGTAGTTTGAGTCAATCTGATCAGGTGCTGAATGTCGTGGTAGATTTCCATCCTTTTTGGGAAAATTTGATACCTTTTGTTTTACAGCTTCTTTTTTATATGTCAGGTTTCTATGTTTGTGAAAATGCGTTTTAGAAAAGTTAATAAACTTTGTAAATTGAAGTAATCATTTGATAGGGTAATTATTCATGGTGGTTTAAACGTCAATCTAGGGCCCTGTGTTTTGGGCTATCAGTCACATGACCTAGATTTAACATTTTATTTGAATCCTTTTCAAGAAATTAGAATTACACCAAGAACAAAAGCAATTGACTGAGGATGGAGCTGGACCACCTAACATGAGAAGAAAAGGGGACTGTTGGATGAAAAAGCTTTAAATAAAGGTTAAAATCCAGGTCACGTGACACGATTGTCCAAATCACAGGGGCCATAATAGAAAATGCCTAATACACAAAGATGATAGCCACAGTCTGTAAGATTACCAGTGTAACCCAGTGTATGAGAGCGTTACTCTGCCTCTGCCCAGAGACTGGCACGGTTCGAGTCCCTGTTGCAGCTCACTTTCTCCCGCTACACTGATGGCAGTGGTGGGATCACTCCAGTGGTCTCACGTGGAGTTGGGAAAGCGTGCTCTCTCTCTCTCTCTCTACGCTTTTGTGGCTTGGTGAGGATGCTGCTTGAGCGAAGGGGGAATACTGTAACACTGTGTTTGTCAGCATTGCATTGTCTGCCCTAAGGCCCGGGGCTTTAGTGGCAGTCTGTTTGACGCTCGTCTCTGCACGGTAGGAACCACAGTTTGAGCCCCCGTTGCAGCTCTCCCTTTCTCGATTACACCAGTAATTTCCATTAGTCAAAATTTAACACTAGATTTTAACCAATGTGTTTTAAGGCAATAGTCTAATAACCTGCAACGTCTTACCTGATTTAAAAAAAAATAGGCCCTAATGTAATGTTGCTTTTTATGGAATGTCATTCCAAGAGCACTAAGCCTACCATTAGAAATCAATGGGATGTAGGCTACACTTCCTTCAATGTTGTTTAACCTATCCTTGTTGGTGGTACACTCTTTGGTGGTGAGAACATTATACAGAGTGTACCATTTACTCATTAAGAGAAATGCATATTTCACATATTCAGGAGGAAGAAGTAGGTACTTGCACAGTGATCAGGTGCGATGTCCTTGCAGGGGCGGACTTTGTGATTTGGAGGCCCCAGGCAGAGGCCAGTCTTTTTAATGGGTTTTATAGTAAAGATGTCGTTTAACTTTACAAATGTATTACCTTTTTAATGTGCCATGAACACAACCAGTCATGATGTTTTCATCTGATTGTCAAAAAAAATCTCTTAAAAAAAGTAGGTTACCTTCGCACGTTCATCCAAAAATAATTCCAGCATCTGAACAGCGCATTAGCCAACTTTCCTTCCATTCGTTAAGTGGCTGAAACTATCTCACCGGAGAAAGCATCTGAGCGAGCGAAACAGCGCCCCTCTGTCTTACTATATGTAGACCATGTATCTGATGCTGTCTGGCCAAAAATAGTATGACATGCCATATGGCAGTATTATCAGCAGCACCTGTCTTTTTACTAAATAAATGCTTATTGTATCCCGTAGAGTCTAAGGTTCTTCTGGCTGCACTTTTTGACATGACTGTAAGTTGGCCGTAGTTGGCTAGCTAGCAAGCAAGGGATAAGAACATTGCCAGCCGGTATAGCAATGGAACATTTAGAACGATCGTCCATAGATACAGATCAAAAACACTGAACGACTGGGTCACGTCTCTGGCAACCGAACTGATAGAACGAACGACCAGCCGGCTTGGGTAGCAACCCTAGATTTGTGTCAGGTCTATATCTTGTGAAAGGATGAAATAGTATGAATACATTTATCAAAATAACGTTTTTAATAAAAATATGTCAACCATTGTATAAAAGTGATAATGCC